GCCTTTGGAGAGGAAAAATGTTTCTATATTCATGATATAATCATCTCTATGTACTTGTTTGGGTATAGCTATAGCTATATCTAGCTTGGTAATGATTGACAGTTTGACAGAGGGCGAGGGAAAGCTAGAAGGAGGCCCACAGACAGTTAGGCCACACATAATAAGACTCCAAGCATGCAATGTTGTAGAGATATGGAGACAGAAGAGTCTTTGCCACACTGCGAATTGCCGAGGCCCTGGAAAAGATAGTGTAGGGTCACTAGCAGTAGGACCCATGAGACAGAACGGGGGGGGCAGTGAGATAGGTGCCAACGGACAAGAATGAGGGAACCAGTGAAGTGTCGTTAGTGTCTTGGCTTGGTTTATTTGAGTGTGGGTCGCTCATATAAATCTCTGTGAATCCAAGAATCCAAATCTACAATGTAGTCTGTGGGTCTGTGTTACTGGGAGTTCCTTGTCTGTGTAGGTTAGGGTCAACTTGGGTCAGATAAAGTCAACGAGTTTGAGTATATTTGGAAAATAGTTAATACTACAAAGAATTAATCCACAACACCACCAACTTGCTGACGAAGCCACAATGCTCCAAAGGCTCATTCTTACAAAACCCAATAGTCAGTAAAATGTCCTATTGTCTAAAAGCCCATTTGCCTGACACCCTGTTATCCTAAAAACAAACTCCCATTGTTCTGAAAGCCCATTACTCCAAAAACAAGAACATTCTGTGCAACAAACAAAAGTACCCGGCAACATTTTAGCCAAATTAACGTCATCAAACCCTCTGGTCGTTTTTTCTCCTACATTGGCGAATGCATGTCCCCCCCGACTCTACCCGACTCTACCTCTGATTGGCTTACACTAATATTCTTACCTTGAACCTAACTAATCTCACTCCTCATGCTTAACCCAAGCCAAACCCACGTTCTGTTTGATGTGTACAAATATTACCGAACTATAACAAAAAACAAGATCTGTTACAAAATGACCAACATGGACGGACATTGTCAGGGCAACGGCGCAATATGTTATCATGGGGCTTTTTGATGACAGTTTTCAGCAGATATAAAATCCTCGACTAGGAATCTGAAAGACAGACAGAAAAAAAGCATCAGAAAAATCTCTTAAACAGATGATGGTCTCACACAGTGATTTACACAGCCAGGGGGTTCGCTTTGAACTGACTTCCCCTGCCTTCAGTGTTCAGTGAATTCCCCACAGTTTAGTGTGTCTGTCTGCTATGCGTCTGTTTATCCTGCCAGGCTGTACGGCTCGTTGTCTGTTTGTTGGCGTGTCTACCTGTCCAGTTACCATCTGTCTTTCAATTTGCTAATCGACGCAGCTGACGTGTCACAGTTATCTGTTCTTAACAGTCATCTTGACTATTTTTATCTTTCTTTCTTTCGTCTTAAAATACAACATGCGGCTTCTTAGAAAAGTGATAAAGAATATAAATACACCAGGAATCATATACAACAACACAAACTTCCACATGCAGTGGACCAGACTTTCTCCGGATTAGTTCAGGAAAAAATGACACAAAAGAAAAACCTTGCACAGCATTTATGCGTCTCCTTTTTTGAGTTCACACATGAACTCTGATGGTAATGTGTCGCGTTCTGCTTTGTTGGCATTGCTAATACCTGCCTCCTCTACTACGGCAACAACCCCACCGCAGGCTTCATCTTATGTAACGGGAGTGGTTTGATGTTTGTAGTGAGGATTAGCAGTGCTGTCTGATACATGAAAACTCTAAAGATCTATCTTTGAAGTCTGCCGGCCATCACTGCTGATACGATATTAACTGGACTCCCATACTCATGAGAGAGTTTTCCCTGGGGGCCCTTGGAGTGGCACAGTGCAGCATACAGCAAGTATGAGAATTGAGTGTGGAAGAGGAAGGTATAAAAAGTCTCACTTTGGTTTTGGGAAAGCACATTCCCCAAACAGATGTATTGTAAAATTATACAATATATTAAGAATACAGGGTGCACCGTGTGAAATCAATTCTTCTTGCTTCATTAGTTACTGATGGTGAATTGTTGTACCTTTACACTAGGAAGAGGAGATGATGCAAAAGAAAAGACATTTATAAATCTTGTAATTATACATGTCTTGGTTGTGGTTGTGGAGCATTTTGGAAGAAATGAAGAACTGAAAATGTTGCTACTGGCATGAACAATCTGAGACAAAAACTAAACTGCGTGCGAGACTTGACCTTGTGTCGTTTAATCTTATCCGCCCGCCCCCATTTCTCTCACGTACACAAACACAGACAGACTCTGACATGCAAGTGCTGACGTGGTGAAACAACACATAAATAATTCATAAAACAACCAATTTAAACTTCTATAGTGGGTAGTATTTTTTTTGTGCTTGCTTTTTCTTGCTGCTGTGCTTCATGGATAAATAATTTGAGGTGTGAAGTAGTAAAAGAGGCTACAATGCGGTAATATAACTGCACATGAGCCACTTTGAATCCTCTGGCACAAGTCAAAGGATAGAACACCAGACATAGATAATACCGCCAGAATGCACAGATTTTGACAAGCATCATTGACTGCTGTATCCTAAGAGTGAGACACGGACCGGAGGAGACCTAGAAATAGAGAACAGGCGCATGCATTGGTTGAAGAGACAATTATGAATTCAACCTGAGGAGTTTGGCCAAGTCGCTGTGCCTCTGTGATGTTTCCGCTGCTTTGATCTCCCTGCGTTAACTCTTTTTGTGTGGCCGCCTCGTGCCGGCTGTAGCGTTGGCCGGGGCTACTGAGGTCCCGAGAGTGCTTCCTGTTGGGCCTCTGGGAAAAATCACTGAAATAATTTTGGCATGTAAGTTGTGAAGCAGATTCCCCCCTCAACCATACGGCCTGAGGTTGAGGCCTTTACATACAAGGAGGTAGAGTAGGAAGGGAGGGAGATTATGCTTGTCAAATCGTTTTAATTTGTTTTACTTTGAAGTGAGTTCTTGAGTATTGCAGACGTTATCCGTGGGTTTCCATGTAATGCATGCTAACACACACAAACTGTATATGAGTTTGATTTGCACCAGAAGCTTCATTGCAAAATGTGTGTTTCAGCACCATGGAGAGCGACAGGCCCATTTGAGAAAGTGTCCAACTGAATATTTGATTTACTCAAACACTACTGGTCTAGTACCAGTAGTGTTTGAATATGCTTCCGAGGAATCACAAAAAGAGCCAAAAGAAGACTGTTGGGTACAGTATATTCAGTTAATGTTCTGTCTTAGTGGACACAGTTCGTGACCTTTTTGAACTGACACGTAGCGTTTAGGATGGTGGCTGCAGGAACTAATGTTATGAGGTTTTATTGACGATGTGTCTCTTCCATCAATCATGGATGACAATGTGATCTCTCTCTCTGTGACGTGGAAGTGACCAGTGAGAGCTGATTCGGCGCCCCCTCCTAAGGAAGGGGGGGGACACAGATTGTGACAACTATTCAAAGCCAAAGGAGGAATCCTTTGGGTAGGCTTGACGCGTGACTTCCACTGTGTTTCAACTCTGATCTGCAAGCATGTCCTGTTCAATGATTTCACAACGGTGTCCAGTAAAATATTTCAAACAAAAACTCTCATAATATTCATTTATTCACTCACACAGTAAATAAGACTGATGCGCTCTGATCAAACAGCCTTGAGATAAATGCCAAGGTCATGATGTTCAGCTTTTGTTCAATTCAATCATATGACTTGATCTCATGACCCAAATATGATGACTTCAGATCTGAAAAAATCAAACAAAAACTTGACATTAATGAATTGGGAATGCACTTGGACTTGAGCCTTTTGACAGACATCTGATGTTTTATCTGCCCCCCTTCCCGCCATGTCTGATTCTACTTGTTTCTATACAGTCAGCAGACACAGGTGATCTTTGGTTCAGACTGTCGCTCCACTTTGTAGCTCTCCTGCTCCACCACGCTAGCGGGCATTTAATGAAATGGTAATCTAGTCACGCGGCTGCATGGGTGTTTTTTTCTTTGTACGTGTCTGTCTGTCTGTGTTCTCTTTGATCCGTTCGTCATATGGTCTTACAGCTGTGTGCTGACATGATTACAAAGGCCTGGCCAGATGTGCTGACCAGCTGGCTATGACACCGACATTGCCCTTTCTTTGTGTGTGTGTGTGTGTTTGTTGGATAGGATAAGAGGCAACATATTGTCGTAATGGCAGGTTCAGAGATAACACACCTTCTAACTCTTTTTTTCCCGTGGATGTGCTTGTTGTGCCCATTCATCTGAGATTGTGAGCAAGAATACAATTGGCTCTCAGCGTTGGTTTAATTCCGCGCTCCCCACTTGACTGACACTTCCCACCAGGGAAACGTTTGTGTGTGTATTTGCGATAAAGATAGAACGTGGTTGAACTCCTTATATGGTCATGTAGTTTGGTTGGGAGCTTGTGCGCTTGCAACAGAATGAATCAGAGTGCTGTTACATCAGAGGTACGGGCAGGCGGGATGGATCACTTGCACTCTTATTGGAACACACACTTCCGTTTCAATGTGTGTGTGTGTGTGTCTGTGTGTTAGCGCAAGAGAGCGAGGAATGACAGAAACACACATCATCAGATGGCCTAGTTTTCAGCAACACAGGGATGAAAGGACAGTTATGCAGCAGTAAGTATGGGTTGTGCAGAGAGACACATTGGAAATGGATGGGAGTCAATAGACTCAGAATACAGTACAAGTACTCAATTTACTACTTTGTTGAGTAATTTGATCAAAAATACATCTGTATTTAAGTGGATAACTCATCACTTGGTCTACTGCCAGCGACAACTGTTTCTCACCTGTAAAAACAAAGCTTTGTGGGATCAAAATTGGGAAAGTCATATTCCCCTTAGCTGCACTCCATATGGCAAATTAATTCTGCTCTTCTCAAACCCCTGCGCAGCAGTAAGCTTGAAAGCACTAAATTCCCATATTCACACATTTAATCATATATTGCTTGGTGTTGATAGTGTTTTCCTCCATTTTCTTTAGGAACATTTCAAGGCCAGTGGGTTGGCGGGATGCGACACGGCTATGGAGTTCGCCAAAGTGTGCCCTACGGCATGGCGGCCGTCATCCGCTCCCCGCTCCGTACTTCTATAAACTCTCTCCGCTCCGGTTCGGAGAACAGCAACGGCACAGCTCTGCTGGACCGTACCGGAGCGGTGGTCCCCGGTCCTTCCCCCGGTCCCGGCACTTTGACCACCAGCGTGTCCATGTGCAGCACGGGCAGCAGTCCCGCCGTGTCCCGTGGGGGCTTTGTGCTGACGGCACACAGCGAGGCCGAGCTGCTGAAGGGGAAGCGGAAAGGCGGGCTGTTCCGGAGGTCCATCCTTTCAGGGCTCAAGCTGAGGAAGTCCGAGTCCAGAAGCTCTTTGGCCTCCCAGAGGTCCAAACAGAGCTCCTTCAGGAGTGAGGCTGGGATGAGCACCGTGTCCTCGGCTATATCGGATATAAACTCTACTATAAGGTAACAACCAGAGTGGATGATGTAGGATTTAAATGCTCAAAACTGCTATATATGTCATATTACGTCAAAATCATCCCATACCATACATTGATAGGGCTTTGGGCCACCCCGTCCTTCCTCAAGAGTGCCAGAATCCCTTTTTTGCCCGCATTGAAAAAATAAAAATAAAATAAACTGTAGTGAGGTAATGGGATGAATGATAGTGGGGAGGAAGGTGGAGTGAGAGGACGAGGAGAGATGACGTGCCCGAAAAGAGCTGCCGTCCTTCGCGTGAGGGACATCAATACAACAACCGGCACCTGTCCTACATAAGCGACTGTAAAATGGATTGGCCCGTGGCCCAAAGGGGCTAATCGATCAAAACGTCAGCTTACTAGTGCGTTTGCCGGAAAAAAGGTTTACATTGTGCTATCCAGCGATAATCCTGTTGTCTTTGTCTCTCTGCTCCGCTGGGTTTACTTTGAGCAGACCGGCTTGTAGTCACACTGAGCTGTTCAACATGAAAACACTGGTGTCCTTAACTGAAATAATCTCGTACTTGGAAAGACTTGTGGAATTCCAAGTATACTGAAGAGAGGGGCCACAAGTTACTCAACAACACACAGCTGTGTTCTTTCACAGCTCTTAAAACAAACCATAATTCTACACGTAAAAAAAACAACCTCTGAAGGCTCATGTATGAGTGCAAGATCAAACGCAACATTTTTATATAAGGCATTGCAATTAATAAGTTATTGATGGATGTGAGAGATACTCTTCCTATTTGAACAGATTATAGCGCTAAATCTCCTGCCAGGGAAAACATACTAAAAGGAAGTTAGAGATCTAATTAATGGACCAAAAGAGGCGAGATAAAAACATGCTTGTGAAAGCTCGTTGAGCAAAACACTTCTTATTCCTTAGCAACTTCAGAGAAACTGAGAAGTGGCTGACCATGAGGGGGGCAAGGACAAGGCAATGAGGGGGAAACATCAGTAAAGCACCTTCTTGAGATGTGAATTCTTCACAACACATCCCAAAAAATAAGAATTTTTCATTTGGGAATTTAATTTTAATATTTGTTTCAGTTGTACTGAAATATTTTCAGAAACACCCTTATAATTTCTCTCTACAAGTGGTGTCAATTTCCATGGTTTTAGGAGGGAAATTTAATCTGGGAAGTATTTCTTTGCAAGCATGAGTCAGGCTTTCGGGAGCCTTGTTGTTATGGTGTGGTCGGCAACTTAAGTACTGTTAGCTACCCTTAAAAGTTGCATGTATTGTTGTTTCTTCATTTGTCCTTCTGTATTGAACAAACAAAAAAAAATATTGACTTAACACACCATACAACCTTTTACCTTTTCCAGTCTTGGAGACGCAGACGCAGAGTTGGCCGTCGCAGACGATGACGTAGACGCCACAGCAACTGAGACCTACTGTGGGGAGTGGAAGAACGACAAGCGGACCGGATTCGGTGTCAGTCGACGCTCCGACGGCCTCCAGTACGAGGGGGAGTGGCTCAGCAACAAGCGCCACGGCTACGGTTGCACCGCGTTTCCCGATGGCACCAAAGAGGAAGGGAAATACAAACAGAACATCCTGGTGAGCGGCAAAAGGAAGAACCTGATCCCACTCCGGGCCAGTAAGATCAGAGAGAAGGTGGACCGAGCCGTGGAGGGAGCACAGAAAGCAGCCGACATCTCCCGACAGAAGGCAGAGATCGCTCTGTCCAGGTACTGCCCTTGTGGGGATCTAACTCTCTTGTTTGTTATTTCCCTCCATTCCTTTGTTTTAAATAAACGTCTGGTTTGTGTGTATGTCCAGTATAGGTCATGGCTAATATGTAATTATATATTACCATAGAGCTTGAAAGTCCCCACACTTTTTTGGCTCGCAAGCTACTTTTCAATCAACTTTTCAATCCAACTCATGGCGATCTACCCCCACCCCCACCCCACCCCCTCGGGCAGTTCGCCCGAATTATAATGGGGTTGATGGTGGCACATGCGTGGTGACCCGACGTGATATATATATTTTTTCAATAGCAAGTGATCAACCAGCACTGCGTCGGTGACCGACCTGTCTAACGCACGTGCTCACTCACAGAGAGAAACCTCCAGTGGACTTTTTAGGAATAGCAGCTGCTTTTACAGAAATGCAATTTATGTCTTTATGTAATTCTCACAATAGCAAAGTCAAAGTGGGCCGCACTGGACCCCCCGGCAGGCCGGATTCAGGCCTTAAGTTTGACACCTGTGCTGTAAGGCAACAGTGGTAACCACCACACCACCGCCCTGATACACCATTGTCACTAGTGTTGCGATTACTTGGGTCAGAGAAAGGGGAATGAGGTTCATTGCCAGTCGTCTAAACGTTGAACCGAACTGAGCAAAAATGATTCCAATGCGCAAAGTGATGAGCAACGACCATTTCTGATATTCCTCACCTTCCATCTTAAGCGCTGGTTCTTCTCTCAGATGGGAGGAGCACGTGCTCCCCCCGCTGCTTGTTTGGGTTGTGGCTGCGCGGGCGGGTCTTGACAAGTTCCCATTGATGGGCTGTGGACGTCCACGCAATACATGCGAAAACACACTTTGATCACAAATTCAAATGTCACGGACGCGTACTCGGGTATGCCCAAGGTATAACTTGGGCATACTCTCCGTTTCTGTTGTACCAATGTCCACCTGCTGCTAGCGTGATAATGCTGAAAATGTTTTACATTTTGGACATTTACATCTCCATGGTGTTCTTGGCCTCAAGTACATCACATTCAGTGGAAAAACGACAATACTTATGATAATAAAGGTAAACTTTTGTGCAGGCTTTTGTTTGAGGAGTTGGCTCTACACATCTACACCCCTGTGGATGGCCCCGTTCTGCATTATGATGGAGATCAATGATGTTTGGCCAGGAATATAAAGCAACAATTTTTGTTTTTCAGCTCAGGACTCAGAAACTAATTAGCTATCCTGTGACCTGTAGTCATGGATACGCATTGATATTCTTGTCATGTGGGTGCCCATCATAAGTAGGGCTATGATCCACTTGTTGTTTCAAGGAACCAGGTCACAGGGCCATGGCCGCTGTGCTTTTGGGGTAGCACTTGTGGTCCAGGCTTCTTTTTTCAAACATTTGCAGTTTGGTCTGTAATGGCAAGGTTTGGATAAGGAAATTAAATAATTGTCGACGTAAACATTTGGATAATGAGTTCAACTTACAAACTCAGCGATTTGCTGCCGTAAATTGTCAGAAATTGACGTGGGCCTCCCTTGGCAGTTGTCCCCCCATGACCCCCCTCCTCCTAATTCTAGGGGAGGCTTTGACATGTAAATGAAAATGCTGTGAGCTATACAAATGCAAATCAGGGTCGCAGAGGGAGTTTTAGCCCAGGTGACATTTTTTTAAAAGGTAAGAAAATCTCTGGTACAAATAAATCAGGCTCAGTAGCCTAATTATAGACTCTTACATTTTAGCTTGAATTGATTTATTTAATTCAAATATGCTAGATTACTGTGTACGCCATTAGCAATGGCAAATGTTATGTAAAAAAGATACACAAAATAACTTTAAAAAAAAATTAGTTTTAATCAAGGTAAAATGAGCATTCCATGCAAACAACATTTGAATCAGAATGAGGGGTCTGCAGAGATCACAGTCTCCTAGAGCTCAACTACAGTGCATAGTGGCAGGACTACAGTGACCTTTGCTTTGGTCTTACTTAAATGCACAGAGGATGTATTAACCACACATCTTCTAGCAATGCGCTCAACTGGCAGAAATGATGCTGGGTATGACGTGTCTGTTCCCTGCAAGCCCCAAACTTCTATTGGCTTTCCATAAAAATGTCTGTCCGGGTGGAGATGAAGCCAGGAAACGTGTGCAAGAACATGTTTAGATGCCGTACCCTTTGACACAACATTAACAACTATAAACTGCTTTATAATGGCTGATCGTAGTTCTGCTAGAGGGTCAAGGACGGGTTCCTCAAAACTGTTAGTGTTTCCACACCACTTAGCATGAACACATGCTGACCTTTATGCTCTGCATCTATCGATTGAGTAAGTTACATTCATATATGTTACCCGTTTACATGTCATGGCAAAACATTCAACCTCAGTGACACAAGGGTACATCTGATGATACATTGTCAACATTGCATGTCTGTCAGACTCAAGAGTGTCTGGTGGAATGGAGAAAGAGGCACCACTGTACAGATTTCTAGGGAAAGTCGTTCTGCTGACACCAAAACACTGCTTTACATAAAGCATATCAGCTGTTTCAAAGTCCCAACCATTTGTCATCCTAAAATACTGGTCCTTCCGTATAACAATAACCTCGTATGTGATTGGAGGACCCTTAGACTCCTCGTCCAATCACGTGTGAGGTCATAGGCATGACTGATACAGCAGTACTTGCAAGACGAGCATACAAACAGACACGTGTGTGTTACTATATTCAGAAGAACTGTATCTCCAGTTCCTTTGTTTGGTTTTTGCTGCTTCGTGAATAATGGCTGGACGACGTCTCGCGTTCAACTCGCCTTCAACTCTTCTCCGCGGTCACCAACTGTCAGTCCGCAGACAGACGAGAAGAAGCTGCTGATGCTCTCAGTGGATCGTCTCGTCAACTCCAACAACAAACTGCCGATATCAACGAGCGGTTCGCTCCACTGGAGCGTTCGGGATTCTGCGGGTTTCTGTCCACGGAGGAGAGGAACCGACTCAAAGAAGAGGAGACGGGCGCACGATCCCACGATAGCGGTAAGAATACGTTCGATGACTGCAAGCTAAGCTAAGAGTAGCGTAGCCTCAAGCTAAGCTAAGAGTAGCCGAGTAGCCTTACAAGTGAGCAGAAACAGCTTTATTAAAGTGTGTTTTCTTTGCCGTGTCGTTTACAGGAAGCGGTGCGCCGTCTTCACAACTCCGAGACGAACTACAGGCGCTACGAACCGGAGAAAGGGTCAGATTTACAGAATATGCTTTCATTCTGCGCTATAAGGGAATATATACGTATAGATACCGATCATAACTGTACATTTTGTTTTCACAGACTAATCTCGTCTCATAATGAGGTGGTGACCTCGTATTTGCTCCGGGAAAAGTCCAGATTTAGACGACGTCATTGTCAAGTGACACTGTTTATCCTTCCTTGTTAAATGTTACTGTGACTTGTGTTTGATTTTCTTTTTGTATTCATACCACACTCATTTAATTGTTTTCCAGCCGCCTGTGAGACGTATTGTGAGACGGGACGCAGGAGCTTCAGGTTCAGGCGGAACACTCACTGCGAGCGGAAACTGCGAAGGATTCAGCGCGGAGTCGAGCGAGAAGAAAGTGGGTCAGAGTTTATTTGCTGACTTGTTTCAGGTGCATTGATCGATGTGTTGTATCCGTACGCATCGCATCGCACAGTACTGATTCATTGTTGTTTTTACAGCTGCTGGAATCGAGACAAAGTGCGCTGGCTGATGACGAGGTGGAACGCTGGAAATCCGCCACCGTGGAGCTCACGTCGGACGGAGGGGACGGCGTTGTTGGCGGGGTCTCGGGGTGGATTGTACGGTCAACAACCCCGAGGAGGCAAACGGACAGTTTACTGAGCTGTAGTTTTTAAACCGCCTTTACCCAAGTGCGGGCAGATCCTCACTTTGTATGTAGTTGTTGCTTGTGTGTTGTTAATAAAGCTCTTTCTTTGCATAAACATGTGGCAAATGTTCATTTTCTCTATAAATTCATTGATGTCCTGGTTGGTATCCTAATAATAGTGTAGTAGCCTGCATATGATAACCATGAAATGAATGTACAGCATAATATGAATACTGTATATAAATATATATAAATAAATATAAATAAAACGAGGCGGGTGACCAATAGCGACAGATCTGCCAACCAATCACGAGTGATTGAAAGTTGTGGTTTCATCCAATCATGAACAAGGAAACTCAAGCCTGGTCTGCCCACGTGTGGGTTTGCTGCCAATCACGAGTGATTTTATTTGTTAGTAAGTTGTGGTTTCATCCAATAAGGAGTAAGGATATTCAAGCCCGCTCGGCTCGGCCACCCGCGGTTTCGCTGCATTCATATGCTAATTCGGGCCATTCGCACCTCCGCCAGCTCTCCACCTACGTCATGGTTCGTTTCCGACAATTTGTGGCACAGACAAACGCGACGTGCGCGGGTTGCAAATTGTTGGAAATTGTCGGAAATTAGGAAGATTTCCGGGCGTTTACGGGGACGAAAATCTCACTTTTCATGCAGTGGCTCCTTTTTCCCTTCTCCCCGGCAGGAGGTGAAAAGTCAAAAGAATCAACTGGCTCAAGAATGTAATAACTAACATAAGCAATACATTGACAAAGTAAAATACGGTATGAATAGTATAATATTTAGCGAAATAGGGAATCCTCCGTGACCCGTCTGATATGGCCATCAATAAGGGTTCTCAGGAGGCTTCTGCCTGCCTCTTCTCCAGCAGAACTTTCAAAACTTGCAGGGTGTGTCCTTTGTGTTGTAACCGTACGTGATTGGCTGCACATTCAAACGTAGCTCCTCCCACACTGGTCACTGTGACATTCCTTTCTGCCTCCAGGCATTTTATGACTCTCGGCTTCATCTGATGGCCGACTCTGAAATCCCTTACTGACCTGACCGATCCCATTCACATAATACTACAAAACGTTCAATGATCACACATTTGACCTAAAACTTTGTGTAAACAGCATCATCATCTAATA